ACATAAAATACATAAACAACTAAATCCATTGAGTTTACAAAACTTTTTATATGTATATAGACTATATAGTATATATATGTATATATATAGAATCCACCAGAGGATAGATCTCACAATTACTAAGGAGAATCCAATACACACGTACGGCTGTCAAACAAAGTCACATACTTTTAAGTTTTAAATCATTGGCTAAGGCCTATTTGGTGCGCGTTCTATTTTTGGTACATTTATTTTTGTAGGGTATTATTGCGGTGAATTTAAAAATATATATATTTGATAAAAAATATTTTATTTTGTATAATGTTTAAACATTTCGTAAATAATAATCGAAAATTGAAACATTAATTTAGTATTTTTATATATTTCAGCACTATAACAACTGTAATGATAAACAATAAAAAATAATATATATATTTTTAATTTAAAAAACTCTTGAATGACATTTTTAAATTAACCATAATATTTTTTTATACTTGAAACTTTTTTTACCAAACTTGTTTACATGTTTTTGCTTCAAAAATATATAACAACAAATGAACATTACCAAAAATACTTTCGATTACTATTTAAATAATTTTACAACAAAACACTTATTTTGTTCGAATTAAAACAAAATATCAAAAACAAAACGCGAACGAAGCAGAACTTATGTATTTTAATACGAGATAATTTTGTGATGCGAGAGTTTTCTTGTCTATCTTGGGTGCAATGGAAAATAAAATAAAGTAAAATATTAATTCTGAGATGATAAAAATAAATAAATAAAGGAAGAAGAAGAAAATAAAAGAAAAGGTGAGGAGAGGACAGGAGAGTGTTTGTGTAGCATATATTTTACTGTCATGTTGTTGGTTTAAAATGGCTTCAAACTGAAGTTTACCAACCTTGCTCATAAATGTGCCAACACATGAATTGTCAATTTATGCAATATATTAATGAGTGAATTTAATGAGAGAACGTGAAAAATACTACCTTTTTTTTAGACACGGTCAAACTCTCTCCTTTTCTTCTTCTTCTTTCCTGTTTTTTTTTTTTTTCATAAAATAATAAAAAACAAGATTATGTCTAAAAAAACAGAAATTCAAGAATGCAACTTAAACTAGTTGGACAAAAAGAGCATCGTTCAAGCCCAGCTTCAATATTATAAAATTATTAGCAGGCTTTAAGTTGAAGTGTTCAACGGAGGCCCAAATTGACTCGTTCAACTAAGTCCAGCTCAAGAATATTTTTAAACCTCGTGTTAGAATTATTATTATTATTTTCTTTTGTTCTTTTGTCATGGCAAATAATAAAATTAGGATTGGCAAATTACGATACGACACAAGTTAAAAATATTTGAGTTTGGTATAAACAAGTTTTGGTCATAAAAAGGTCGACACGATTAACCCGTTTACCCAATCGTGTCGGGTTAGAGTTGAGGGGTTCAACCTGTGTAACCCGTTTATGACCCATTTAACTCAATATATTATAATCGTGAATATAATTTAGGGTAAAGTACAGAAAAATTCTCTCGACTTGTAACCATTTCTGGTAAACCCCTCGTTTTATTTTTTACCAAGGAACCTCGCTCGACTTGTAATCTTTTTCCAATAAACCCCCTTGTCTAATTTTTTGCCAAACAACCCCCTAACTATTTGAAGGGGGTAAAAGAGTTGATATTTAGACTAAAATGACCTTTTATTTAAATCATAATTATTTCGAATTTCAAAAATTCATATCTTACAAACCGTATATTTAAAAATTGTAAATGATATATGCACGGAAAGCTTATAAAATAAGGATTCAGAAATATAAGATTTGTAAAACAAACATTCATAACCATAAAGAAATAAGCAATCTAAAAATCTACTCTAACAATCATATTTTATTTTTACTCAATATATTTGCTAGAAAATTTTCAGAATTATTCACTTACATATGGAGCCAAATATATATAAAAAATTAGCCCCAACAGAGATCGATTTCATTATATATCATATTTTGCGTCAAAATATTTTCATTCTTTTATAGACTCGCCATTTAAAAAAAAAAAAATGAATATTCGATCTCTATTGGGGTTAATTTTTTTATATGTTATGCTCCATAAGAAAATGAATAATTCTGAAAATTTTCTTCCAAATAATCCGAGTATTTTATAAAAAAATAAAATAAAATAAGATTGTTGTAATAAATTTTTAGATTGTCTATTTCTCTCTGGCTATGAAGTTTTATTAAACAAATCTTATATTTCTGAAATCCTTATTTTATAAGTTTTCCGTGTATATATTATTTGCAATATTTGGATGTACGGTTTGTGAGATATGAATTTTTTAAATTTATCATAATTAAGATTTAAATAAAATGATATTTTAGTCCAAATATCAACTCTTTACCCCCTTAGATAGTTGAGGGGGGTTCTTTGGTAAAAAATTAAAAAAGGGAGATTTATTGGAAAGGGCTACAAGTCAAGTGGGGTTCCTTGGTAAAAAATTAAACGATGGGGATTTACTGGAAAATGTTACAAGTTGAGGAGGGTTTTTTGTACTTTGCCATATAACTTATGTAATATGTTACCTGTTAAAACCTAATTATTATGGATAGTTTAGTCATTTCAACGTTTATGCCTTATGATTTTTCATTTTATTTTGAATACTTTAGTTAATTATGATAAATTTTTTCTATTGTTTAGTATTTAATTCAATATTAAATGTCTCGTTTTTATAAACAGGTCATTAAACCAACAGGCCTGTAGCCTAGCGGTACAAGGTTCCTACTTCCCAAATGGAGGTCAGGGGTTCGAACCTCAGTAGAGCTAGTGTGTGTGAGTCCCAAAAAAAAAAAAAAAAAAAGGTCATTTGGATTATTAAAATTTCTATACAAATATTATTCAAGTCCAATAAGGAATACAAAAATTAGTATTATAATTGAAAATTTATTTCATTATTTACTTTTATTAGATTTGTAATACAATTGTAAAAAATATTCTACAAAATCAGACATTGAACCATAAATCATGTTCAGGGGGCACAATGTAATAAAAATTTTTTTTTTTTGGGGCAAGACAATTTTAAAATTTTAAAGAATTGTACATTCAAAAATAATTTTTTTATTTTATTTTATTTTTAAAAAAAGTTGAGCGAGCAATTTTAAAATTTTAAAGAATTATATACAAATATGCAAATTTTTTAAGTTGAGCCACGCTGCCCCTTAAATTGGTTCCATCCATGTACAAAACCCATCCTTGCCTTGCCCCTGCCTGTCTCACCCCTCCCAGTTTAATAAACGATTTTGAACAAGGATGGAAATGAGAATGCAAATGCCGTTTCCTGCCCAAACCGTCTAGTTGCCATCTCTAATCAAACAAAACCTGATTATATTTTTTTATTCATTATTGACTATATTACTTTTTCAACACTGATGATCAGATGAAGTTGCATAAAAAATACTAATCCTCAATTAGGATGGGCGGTTTGGGTCGGAACACCATCCTCGTTCTCATTCCTTCCCTGTTTAAGATAGTTAACCTAATTTTTATTCAAAATCATTTATTAAACGAGATGGGATTGGGATGAAAGGACAAGTTTATAAGGTCAATGGTTTCACGCCTCTCATATGCAAATAATTATTTTGAAGAGTCGTGATATTCAGGCAGAAAGATTAGACCTACAAAAAAAAAAATTAATATGGTAATCATATGGTCCCATTAACATGTCCATTAAAACAACATGAATATATTGTCTCTCGTGTCCATCCTACATTTTTAGGATTACTTAACTAAGATCCTTGTTTCAAAAATACCTGTAATTAAAAATTCCTTAAATTTATTTTATAAATTTTATTAGATGTGCAATTCAATCACCATAACTTTGTTTTAAAAATTTTATCAAAACACTCTCCCTCTCCTTTAGTTATATATATATATATAGAGAGAGAGAGAGAGAGATGTTTAAGACTATGCGAAATTATATAGATAGATGTATAAGAATATACAAAATTTCGCAAAACATACAAATAACAATAATATTAATAATAAACACAAGGGGCTCCCCGCCTTGCCATATATACATAATATGTATTTTACTATATATATGTAAGAAATTTAATAGAAATGTTAGAAAATGTCCTTCCTAAAATTTTAAATTTCTAAAAATATATGATAAATTTTTCTTGTATTTTTTAAATTCATTTGATTCCTTATTAGAAAAAATGTTATATTCCTTTTTTTAGTTAAATCTTAATTTTGTTTTCCTTTCAAAGTTCTTTTTTTTTTTTTTTTTTTTTTTTTTATGTTTTTCTTTAGTTTTAATACATTTTTTTTTGAAATTTATTTATGTTTGTCATTGTTTTTATTAAGATTATGGTGTATCTTTAAAGCGACTGAGGCTAATTAAGTTAATGAAAAGCATGGGGTAGTTGATTTTTTTTTTTTTAAGTACACTACAATCATTGAAATCCTAGCTCCATGATCAAAATTCTTATGCAAGAAATCAATAACAGACTGAATTGGCTCGTCAATCGAAAACCCTCCTCAACCCTTCTCACTCACTAAGTACTGTAAAGTAATATATTTGTGTATCCTGATTATGATCAGGAATCAACGATGTGAATTGAGAAAAGGGTGAGAGAAGAAAATAAAGAATGGTTTAACTATGAGATATTATTGGTAATTGAGATTTTTTGGTAATTGGGATTCTGTGAGGATAATTTTGTTATTAAAATTTTATCTTTGTAAGTGTAATATAGTTATAGTGATATATCACCGTTGACTTAAGTTTTTGGTCTGAGTATTCGGTGCAAGCATCATTTTCTTTCCAATCATTTTCCTTATTTGAAGGGAGTGTGAATTAGAAAAACAAAATAAAATAATATATAGAAATACAAATAAAATAATGTATAAGAAAAAAATTATAACCGTGAACTTTGCCATTCCCTATCCTCAATACTAACATTATTACTTGGGACCAAAAGATAGTTCTGTAATCTTTCAGAAATATTTAATTTGATGCAATGAATTTTAAAAAATAAATAAAAATTGCAAGAAAAATATAAATACATTGGTGATTCGGTCTTTTTCAGAAAAGCCACACAAAACCCTCGACGGACTGTGATATTGCATCGTCACTACTTTCTTCTTCGACACCGACGACGCATACACTCTCTTCACCGCAACCACAATGGCTCAACAAGGCGAAATTCCGGCACCTGCTCCGCCAACGGAAGAGGACAACAACCGGTCCGCGGCGGCGAAGCGACCTCGTGACGACGGCGATGCGGAGGCGTCGGGAGGTACCGGCGGCGATGCACCGTCGCCGAAGCGGCGGCTGAAGTCGGTGCAAGACGTGCTGTTCAGAATCGTGGTTCCCTCGAGGCAGATCGGGAAGGTTATCGGCAAAGTAGGGCATCGAATCCAGAAGATACGAGAAGAGACCAAAGCCACCATCAAAATTGCCGATGCTGTCGCGGTGAGTTTTTCTTGGCTGCTTAGAAAATGTAGATTTCCACAAGAAATTGAGGAAACAAAGAAGAAAGGAGTTTTAATTTTTGTTAAGATGAATGAAGAAAATATGCGCTATAAGCTAAAAACTGTTTAACATGGATATGCATTACTCTGTTTAATTCATGAGAAAATATTAAAAGAAGAGTCTCTATTGATTAAGAAAATAAAAGAAGGAAATGGGGGGTTGAGGTTGGGTGGGGAATATCTTTTTTTATTTTTTTCACCTTCCCTTGTTAATTTTGACCAGAAAAGACCAAACTCAACTAAAACACAGTTGTAATCTTGTTGAAGCTATATTTGATAGCACCGAATAGGCAATTTGAAATTGCAATAGGATAAAAATTAGTTCAAAGTATCCGAGAGTGCTTTCTGTGTTTCTTAGGTTGTTCTTTGTTGACAATAAGATGTTGGTTTCCATTTTCCGGAAACAAATTGAGGTACACAAACACTTGGCTTACATCAGTAGTAATATTTTTCACTCTGCCACTAAACTTAGATACCCATAGAGTTCAAATTGATATAGTTTGAGTTGCATATCGGTAAGATTAATTTTCTATTTTGTGGTAGTTGATACATTTATGTTTTATTAAAACTGAGTTTATAATACTCAATTGTTTGAAATTGAGATTACTTGTTTATAAAGTAGAGTATGTGAATAAGGCATACGATAAAGAGCAATGAACTTCTGCACATGTTCTTAGAGGAGTGCTAGAGGCAATTGTGATTGTTGTTAAGAGTGCTAGAGGGCAATTGTGATTGTTGTTCCTCAGCTTTTAGATCGCCCATGGAACCCATATGAGCCAATGGCCAAGAAGTGACAGTCACGCAGTTGTGACTTGCTAGAATTTCTCATGTTCTTAATGAGACTTTTTTCTGGTTCAAATTCCCAATTCCAGAGAATCTGCTAGGATAAATCTTTTAATACATATTTTTTAGAATTGAAAAAGAAACAGATTTGCTGCTGATGCTGCAGAAGAATGAATGAAAATAAGGTCCAATGATAAATCAATAGATTAAAAAAGAAAGACATTATAAGAATGTTGTTAAACCAGGAAAGCTGACTAAAAGGGGGAAAACCAGGAAAGCTGACTAAAAGGGGGAAATTACCAAATAGACTTTAAAATAGTGTCTTTATTTGGTCACTTTTAAGTTTTAACCTCTTTTAAAATTTTTGTGGTGAAATTCCCATTGTTCTTTATACCATTTCTTCACAATTACTGTTATTTTATATCAAAAGAGGTTACTTGTCATTTTTCTCAACTAAAAACATGTAAATATCACACTGGAAGAGGTAGTCTAATTACTTTGCATCTGCTGCAGTTTCTATCACTTGGCTTAGGAAGTAAGTACTGGCTTGCTAAAACTGTAGTTTTTTCTTTTGTGCAACTACTCTGTGGAAGATTTACAAATTGGAACATAATGGCATTTTCTACTCCCTTCTGATATTTGCAGCGACACGAAGAGCGTGTAATCATCATAAGTTCTAAAGACAGTGACAGTACAGTTTCTGATGCAGAGAATGCACTCCATCAAATAGCCAGCTTGATCCTCAAGGTGATATTATTATACCATTATACTTAACTCAGTGCCAATGCTAGTACCACGAGTGGTAGTTGTCAATTTTTTATCCTTTAATGTTGTGGCCTTTATGCATCGATACTATGAGCTTGATGCATATAAGTATATTTCTTTTTCTTTGTTTCTTTTTTTGAAGATTGGAAAGTAGTAAGTACCAATATTTCTTTCCTTTAAAATCTATCATCTGCAATTGTCCAAGAATCCATCATTTAAAATACTTACTTCCTCTTTATTGCACAGAGTTTATGAATTCATCGTTAGTCCATTAAAGTCTCTTTATCTCATGATTGGAGTTGATCCAAACAAGTACCAACAACAGGGGTGTGTAATGACGTTAGGGAACCAAATATATCCATTAAGATCTGTGCATTTTTTACTAGTCCCATAAACAATGCCCTTTGTTTTGCTTTTAGTACGTTTTGCAAGTTTCGCTTATTCTAGAGCTTCTCTATGTTTAGTAGATGGATTTTTATTCTTATTTTTGAGCTTCACCTTTCTTCTAGCCTCTAAATGGGAAGTGGAGAGTCAGCCCATGTTAATGATCAGTGAAAGAGAAAATCGGAGTTGTGAAGAGGTTTTTGGGTGTGGAGAGAGGTAGAGTGTGAGTGTAGGGTTGGTGGGGTGTAGATAGGGAGGGGGGCCTTGTAGTTGCTGAAAAGGATCCTAGAATTCTCCTTTATAAGCAAGTGGAGGTGGTTTGATTCAATAGTGGATAATGAGCCAAGTCAGTACAAGGGTCAAGCATAGAATAGAGTTGCGACTTGTCTTTTTCATTATTTGATAAAAACTAACTTATAAAGCCCAAATTTGATCAATATTGGTGGGAATCAGACACTGATTAGAAGATTTAAAAAATAGAGAAATAGTGCACAAAATGGCTGATTGGTGAACCAGAAGTATGATTGGATAAATGGAAGTATGGTTCAGCCATTTGGGCAAGCTGTTTAGTTATTCTTTTTGCACAAGAAATTGCTAAGTGCCCTAGTTTGGGCAGGAAAAGGTCTTATCAGGTTACTCCTCCTAAAGAAATGATGGTTCTCTATCTGACCTTAGACATAATTTCCTTTCTAAGTTCATTGTTGAGTTAATATTGTTAAGTGCCCAAATGAACCAGTTTCTACATATGGATGGCTTATGGAATAAAAAAGGGTTTGCACTGTGTTCAGTATAGGAGTGGGGCTTATAAACTATTTCCGAGAGAGGTTGTCCTCGAGCTTCCTGTATATGATCTTAGGGTTCCATTTGATACTTGTTGATATCCTAGGTCTTTTTCACTTATCACAAAAGATATATATATATATATATATATATATATATATTTTTCATAGTGGCTGATTCTTCCATATGAATGTATGCATTTGAAATCATATCTGACACGAGCTTCATGCAACTATGATATGACAGTTGATATATTTTAGTTATTGTAGTCTTATTGTGAGTTTTTCCCCTTGAGTATAGTCTTATTTTGAGTTTCTGTGAAGATTATTACTGTGCTCATTTTTATAGAAAATTTGGGTTCTAAGAAGGGAATTTGGGCTTATATTGATTACTTGTTAGAAAGGGCTAATTATGGAAGGTAGTTTTGTGCTTTTAGGCTTTGTTTTTGAAAGCCTTATAAATATGCCTTTAGGGTGAAAACTATATAGAATATTTAGATGGAATGGTAAGTGTTGAGTTATGAACTCTCTCTTTCTCTCTCTCATTTTTCTGCTACCTTCCATCATTAGCTTTATCACTAATCTTATATTTGCAGGCATGTAAATTTACTTTTTTGCTGCTAGTCTGTCTTCGCTATACCATTTCCTCTTGTCTGAGGGGCTGAGGAGATGCTTTTTGCCATCTTGCTCCTATCTGTTCTCTCCTCTCCTTTCTCCTTCCTCTTCATTTGTGAACGCAGGTCCTAGAAGATTGTTGTTCCTTCCCTATCCTATCTTATTTCTTCTCTTTCTCTTCCCATTATTATGTCTTTCTCTCTTCATTTTTCCAAAATATAGCATAATCTTCATCCATTTCCACCAAATATTCAAAGAAATTAATTTGGTATTAGAATGAATATCATCTAAGGATATTAAGATGAGGAAAAAGAATTCATCTACTTGCATTCTTAATACTCCTCTTCATAATGGTTAACCAGGAAACAGATATTGAAAATTAGGAGTTTATTAGGGAATGCAACCAAATGCATGGTGGCTTTGCACCTATGTTATGTCACTTTTGAGGAACCCAGCCAGGACACCATGGAATGTGATTACAACTCTTCACGTTGCCTACATTATACAGTTCAATCTACTTCTATTTATTCATGCATACACACAGAATAATGCAACTGGAACAAGATTGAGGTGAGACTATAATTTTGTTTAAAATCAAGTGTGAAGTGATAAGTACATGGATTAAATTACCATGGTAGTGACTTGAAAAGTTCAGCACAAGCATTTGATATATAGAAATATAATACGTACACTGTGTTCTGTGTGGTCACCTCCTATTTACTGTAGTGAACATGACATGACATGGACACATGAATGAGATGTTTGTGGAGACGTTAACTGTTGCAAATATAATGTGAAAAAGTAGAAGAATTAGTAGAAAAAGGGAAGAAATGAATGAAGAGGGAGAAAAGCAGTAGAGAGGAGGAAGAGGAAAAAGGAGATGGATGAAAAGGAAAGGTATTCACCTTATATTGAAATTGCTTGCTGCCTTAGACAGGAAACCTATTTGGAGTAATATGCAGTAGGCAAATAGGTCCGTCACCAATGATTTCCTAGTTTTTTTTTTTTTTTTTGTTCCCATCTATATGGTGATGTGTATATGCAAAGAACATGAGTCCGCAAACCCTAAAAGAATATATTATTCCAGATTTTGTATGTAGACCCCTGAATTTTTCATATTTTAAAAGAACAAATTATTTCAGATTTTGAATGTTAACCCTTGAATTTAATGTATTTTCAGTTTATAGAACTGTTATCTCACTCTGCAGTTTGCTATAATTGCATAACAGCCTCACTAATTAAGAATTTTTGGTATAATTCCTTGCTCTTTTATTTTTATTGTGTTTGCACTCGACTCCTTTAATCCTCTTTTTAAATAAGACATTTCAGCACTGTCTCCATATCACAAATTTTAGGAAGTAGAAGGATGACATGACACTTAGACAAATAGGTGTACTTGATACTCTTGGCTTGGATACTCTCTCTTCCCTTCTGAAGACCATATATACCTGTTTGAAGGTTGAATTGTTTACTTCATAACGGTTGACTGATGAGATGAGTATTTTCTCTTGGTTTGTTTATAGGAAGATGACAACAATACCAAGGAACTGAAAGTTGGTGGAGGACATTTGGCTGCAAACACATTGAGGCTTTTGATTGCTGGTTCCCAGGCAGGTTCTTTGATTGGAACATCTGGTCAAAACATTGAGAAGCTGAGGAATTCCTCTGGTGCCACCATCACGGTTCTCGCTCAAAATCAATTACCTTTGTGCGCGTCCACTCATGAATCTGATCGAGTGGTACAGGTGAGCATTTGATTGCTGTCAGTTTTGAACTGAAACAACTTAAAGTTGTCTCAATTATACTTCCTCTTTAACCTTGTAGGATTTGGATAATTCAATAGTATGTTTATTGAAGAAGCAGTGAAGGAGAACTTGTTTACTGATTTTTACTGCGAGCTTCTAGATTTATGCCAGGATGCAAGGAGGCAACAGAATAATTGCCTCTAGTGGATTAGGTCAGAACAATGAACGGAGCCTGCTTATTTAATTAGCTTAAAGTATGGCTTAAGTACAAACTGAAGTTCAACATCTTGACAGAGGTCATGTAAACTGTGTCGTGACTTATGTTTTAAAGTTCTGTTTCGTGGATATATATTTTTGTATCGCTGAAGGACCCAACATAAGATTCATCAGGCTGCCACTTTCCAAACAATCTGATGTTGTTGAACTCCTCTAATCTAGTTGTAAGGCTGGGAGAATTTGGGAGACGCTGTTGAAAGGTAGAGTGCAAAGGAGGGTTTGTCCAGCCCCAAACTATATACGTAGAATTTGTGACTCCAGGAAAATATTACAAGAAGTTAGAAGAGAAGGTAGCTCTTCCTGACAATTACAAATGCAAGGAATGTCTGCAATTGTTTCCAAACTGTGAGAATGAAACATAATTTTGGTTAAGTTTAGAAACGCAGAATGCGTAAAAACATAGAATACAACTTACATAGAGTGTGTGTGGGCGCGCGTGCACGTCTGTGTATGTCTAAATATTTGTAAAATATATAGTATATAAGAAGGCAAAGCCACATTGTGTGACAACAATGCATAGCCACATTCGTGACAACAATGTAAAGCAGAAGAGTAGGCCTCTCGTGCACCAAAACTTGTGAAATGTTAATATAGACTTACCTCACAGATGTAATTATGAAATGCCAAGATAAATTACTTCTAATGTTAATAAAGACTTACTGTCTATTTAGCCAAACTTTTCGTGTAAATTGTATATGTTTTAGAAACAATCTTTTCACTTGTTACCAGTTGAAGAGGATAGAGGGGGAACATAGTAAGCTCCATCCATGAAGTTAACTGGCTTAATAAATAAAGAGCTAAACTGAGGTATTGTAACTAATATATATATATTTATATATATGTAATTTCATAAAGTATTAACGTTGTAAATCTTTCTGATTTAACATTTGAATAAATAATTGTTTCAATTTAATGTTGTTGTTTGCATGTGTTCTAGAATCTTGAATAGTTTTCAACCCAGTCTATGAGAGTTTTGATGGTCTTGGAGGAGTTCTGATGGGAAATATGTAGTTTGAAAATTATATTCAACTTTCGTTTGATTACCATAAAATTGTGAAGTTATTAGTAGCGTCACTGGAAACAATTTGTAACCTAAACCATTATTAAATTCCAGTTTAAGGTTTATTCACTGGATGCAATTTCATGGTGTCATTGGACTTTTGCCCAGCCTTTGTATTTTTTTACTGCATCATGCTTGCATATAATGAGTAATAAAAGGAGAAAAAAGTGCCCTGTTGATTTTGCTTATAGCAAGATGTGTATGAAGGATATGGTCAGCACTATTTTTATTTTTCTTGAAAAACTCAGGTTCATTGCTTATTTCTGCTACTGAAACTACTGAAAAATGATAAGCATTTGTGGTAAATCCAGTTATCAGGTGATGTTCATGCAGTACTGAAGGCTGTGGAGGAGATTGGATGTCAACTAAGGTCTAATATCAAATTCTTGATTGAGACCAGTTGCTATTTTTTCTTTCTTTCCTTTCCATTTTTTCTTTCTTTCCTAATTTTTTATCAATTTAATTTGCCTAGGGATAACCCACCTAAAGAAGTTATTTCTATCAGCCCGACATACAATCTTGGTTTTATTCGACAACATCAACAACACGTGGACCCATCTTCAGGTTATTTAGTGCCTTCCAGATGCTTATTAAAAAAAGAAAGAAAAAGAGTGCCTTTCAGATCAGAATACTTGTATTTTCAACCGCCGCATTCTGCAGCTGTGTCACATCTTTAATATTTTTTTCCTTATAACGACATCATCTTTAGGACAATCAATCTTGCAGCTGATTATGTAACTCTGGAGATGCTTATTGCGGAAACATTGGTTGGTGGGCTGATTGGGAGGTCTGGCTCCAACATCTCAAGGATCAGAAATGAATCTGGGGCAACAATCAAGGTACACTGATCTTTCTTGTCCACAAACTACTTTTCTCTATCAAAAGCAAACTAGCAAACTGTTTGACTTTTTAATTTGTTTCTTTTTTTGGTTGCAGGTATGCGGTGGAAAAGGCGAACAAAAACATAGGCAAATCCATCTTGGTGGTAGTACTCAACAGGTAAATCAATCAGCCCTATTATAAATGTGATTTCTGATTACATGGCTTAGTTGTGGTGGCAAGACATCCTGACATACAGCGTCGATAAGTGATTTAGGCTTTATGACCGCGCATCCTGTTCTTATGGGGAGCATTTCCATGCAAAAATGAAAATAGAGAATTCAGAAGATGCCCAAAATTTGGAAATTTTAAATTTTTGTTGGATGAGATTGCGTGTAAACCTAATTACTATATTTTAGTAATTTAGTATTTTTGAAAATTGGTAATTACTCCTATCATTGTCTAGTTACAAGTTATGTGCTTCAAATTCTTAAATGTTTGCTAGTTTTGTGAAGGATTTTGGAATTTATTTCTCAATGTTCTCATCTTGTTAAAGTTGTTGATGCTTAACAGGTTGCTTTGGCAAAGCAGAGAGTCGACGAGTACATATATTCCCAGTTGATACAAACTGGTGGTCAAAGGTCAGTGTTAATTTCATACTCCTTTGAATGTTATTTATTTCCTCCTATGCTGTGAACGTATATTAACTTGTTATAAGAGTTGCTTATTGTTGTCTTGCCAATTTACTCTGCCTCGGAAAAAAAAAAATTCAGGAGAAGTTACGAATCCAAGTTTTAGGATGATATATATAGATGGTTACACTATCTTTAATACTCTATGTGACAAGGACAGAGATGATTATTAGCGTAAAAGGGTATTAGTCAAAATACCATGTTGCATGGGCATGGGCATGGGACAAATTGTTGACATGATTAGTCTTTAAAAGTAGGACATAGGAAGTGCAATGAATATACATCCATACATATGTATAGGGCTGTAAATGAGCCAAGCCGAGTAATGGTGCGCTCGAGCTCGGTTCGGTTAAGGCTGTTCGAGCTCGGCTCGAGCTCGAATCGAGCCTATAAAATTAAGTCCGAGCTGGGCTCGGCTGTGTTTGATGAGCCTTGAGCTGAGCTCAATAGCTAGTTTACCTTTTATTTTTCATTTCCTTTACCTTTTATTTATTTATTTTTTCTCTTTTTTGGTACTCCGCATCCAAAGATCTGGAACAAAACAAAACAAAAGTTTGAGTGAGAAATAGATTTTCAGTAGTAAAAAGACAACAGTTTGAGAGAGAGAGAAGGAGAAAGAAAATGATAAATTTGGTTGAAAATTAACTTACCAGAGTTGATTTTGATGGAAGAAGTTGAGAGATGCACATATCAACAGTAAGCCCCCAATAAGCCCCAAAAATAGTTTGAATAAAAGAAGATTTATGAAGAAAACAAAGAGATTTTTGGGAGAGAAAGAGAAATGTGATTGGAAAAAATGGCAGATTGGTGGCCATTGAAGTAGCGTGACTGCTGCGTCTACTGGGAAGCAAATAATGAAAGTGAGAATATAGATACGTTAGGGTTAGATAGATGTACAATTATATAAGACGGGCTTGGTCATCTTGGGCTTTACTTAAATGAGATTCTGTTTTTGTGATGGAAACAAAATTATTTGGGTTGGGTTAGGTTTCATAATGGGTTTTGTTTTGTAACAGTACAAAATTGTTTGGGTTGGGTTGGGATGAGTTGAGTTAAGAGATTAATTTTTTTTGAGGTTTTTATAAGTGGGCTAAATATATATTTTCATAATATTTATAATATATTTTTACGAGCTTGAAATGAGCCTTAATTGAGCTTTGTTCACGGACAAACGAGCCGAGCAGGGAGCTGTTTGAGCGTGGCTCGTTTATTAATCGAGCTTAAAAAATCTGTTCGAGTTTGGTTCGTTTATTAAACAAACGGACACGAACCGAGCTCTTATTGAAAAAACTTTTGGAACTATTTGTCGAATGTTTGGTTTATTTACAGTCCTATGTATTTACATGCATGATACATTATTACATGGGATTATTAACATCATTTTTTTTGTGCACCATGCTGTCTCATCCTCCTATTTCTAGTTTTCAAATTTCTCTCACATGTGCATGTGCACGCACAAAAGGCACACATTCTATGATACACAATCCATGAGAATAAGGATTGGATGCCCTTCTAGCCCATGGTTGGGCAGATTAGACGCCCATCATGCTAGTCACATTTCAAACCTAGTGAGTAGTGACCTAATGAGAACCAACCGTCCACTTGCGTGTCAATGAGCAGCATAATATATTTTAATGTAATAAGCAATTTTAATGGAAAAAAATGAAATTACACTAATGCACGCACTTGTACGTATGTATATTGATAATCTCTCCCTGTATTCTTTGCAAACTTGCATGAGCAATCTCCTGATCAGGAATTATGATTATTCATTACTTATAAAAATTAAAGGTAATATTTGTTGGTTGTAATTTAAATTGGCGTATGTCGATCAATGTGAAGATTAAGACAGAAAAGAAAATGAGAAAGACATGAATACCCTTTAGCACAATTATTTATTTATTTATTTTTTTCCTGAATCCTTTAGCACATTCATATCACAAATATTTTGCATGCAGTGAAGGTCAAACAAAAGGGTCCTTTTCATGAATGTCAATTGCTCGGGATTTTATTGGCTGGAAATCTCTACACACTTTTGAATTTATATTGTATGTTCTTGTCCCATGAGAATATTTATTTGTGTTATTTTTGTGCCTGCAGTTATAATGAAGCCGTAGTGATGACAGCCCTTAATCCTGCCTTCACATCTACTACCACACAAGAAGTTCCAGCCTATTCCACACAACAAGTTCCAGCCTATTCCACACCACAATTTCCCGCCTATCCAGGTCTGTCTTTCCATGCTCCACCAATGTAGGTGTATTTAATACAGGCCTCTTTTTGTATGGCCGATGAATTTAATCACCCCTTGATGTACAAAATTGTGGCCGAATGGTGTTTGTGTGAGGTAATATTGTATTGTATCAATTGGTTTTAGAACAAATTTCAAATATATTATTAGAGAGTAGTAGTATTTTTTGATCCAATCTTGTGTTAAGTGGACCCGAGCTGTGCTTTAATGCAAACTTTTTAAAGAATTGCAGGAAATAAATTTGAAAATTTTGTTATTCATGGTGTTAGTTAAAACTTTTTATGAGCCAAATTGAGCCGTGGCGATAAATAACATGGGTTTGAAGCACATAGTGTTATTACAGGTTGGACATGCATTCAAGGAAGAGACCATTCTCTTCTTGGGTTCCATTATTTTGTTTGTTTTCATGTGATAGAATGCATAACAATATGTTCCTATTAATTTGTTTATGTCATTTAGATCTAAAATCCCAACTCTTTTACTCTCTTTTTGTCATTTTTCTTCCGGTAATCATCACCTGCCGCCGGTGCTTACCATTATCTTGTGTTAACCAGCCGGAAAATCATCCTCTCTTCACGCTCTGTTTTACCCTGATTCGCGTAGTGGACTTGCTAGTGTTGCGAAACATCACTTCTCTCTCCGGAGGACGTCGCCTGTAATGTTGGTGGGGGTGGTGGCCTGTATTGGTGGTGGGAGGTGTCTCGTTGGTGGAGAGGAGAGAGAAGGAAGAGAGAAGAAGATGGATGAGAGGCAAAATAGAAAAAAAAAAGAAAAATAGGTAGAATCGGATTTTCAGATTTATTTTTTTGTGAAAAAATAATCAGAAAGGCTTATTTACACATTTTTTTAAAAAAATGATGGACTGAAATACATATTTAAAAACAAAGAGGGATTAATTTTACACACAACCTATATTACAAGGGTTTTTTTGCACTTAACCTTTTCTATAAATGTTATATATGCGTGTGTGTCTATATATATATATATATATATATATATATATATATATATATATATCCATTTTTTTTGACAAAGCTAAACCTTAACGATGAAGGAAACTTCCTCCACACCATCGATGTGCCTTAATGACATAATAATTCATATTCATATTTAATTTTTAAATATATAAATAATAATTTCTTTTTTAAAAAAAATTATTAACATTCTCTCACTTATATTTAAAATGGACAAGTGTTATTCTAATATTATACCATGTCAACAATGTGGAAGAAATTTGTGGACATTGATGAAGAGATAAATATATATTTTTAAATTATTAACGTGAGTGGTTGTCAATAAATTTTTTTTTTAAAAAGCACAAGCCAACGGGTTACATATTATGTGAATAGTTCAGTATCAAAAGTTGATGTTTCCATGCATGACTGTCTATATATATATATATATATATATATTTTTTTTTAAAACGTTTTTTTAATTCAAAGCACAAGCCAACGGGTTACATTTTATGTGAATAGTTCAGTATCATGTGAAAAGTTGACGTTTCCATGCATGAGTGTCTATATATATATATATATTTATATTATTATTTTTAATTATTATTATTATTTTTTTACTTATCAAAAAAAAAAAATATTTTTTTTGGGGAACATCAAATCGGAAGAATACTAAAAACAAAACAGTTATAAAAAATGACTCAGAAAAATCCAAATCAAGAAGTGAAAAATTTGTAAGATAATTCTGTCAAAAATAACGACAAGATTTTGAGATCCATTAATTAAAAGGTAAGTTGCATCAACTAGTAAACAGAGGTTGTTTGTTGCCACAAGAAAAAGGCGAGGGCCGTATTGTGCAAAGTTTTGAAATTAGAGGGTGGTTTAGTGTACTAAGGCCTTCAAATTATTAATGATGCATGACAAAATTCTAGACCGTTCATCAAGTCAATTTTATTATTATTTAGGTAGAAACGATCCATTGAGAAAAATTCACTAACTTTATCTTGTGGGCCATATCATTTTTTAGCCGAAAACTTTCCTTTCGGATTCCAAAATTGCGTTTTCTTATCGGTATAGGGGGCCTGATGATTATTTTGTATTTTTTTATTCGAGACCTAAATGAAGTCGAAATGCTATGAGATTTTATATTTAGTAGTTTTTTATTGATTAGGTTTTTATTCTATTTTTTTGAAATTTTTAGAGTGAATTCAGTTTTAGTCTTATTTCTAGAATTATTTTCATTATATTATTAGTTTTCTTTTAATGTAAGTTTTCGCATAATTTAATTTTTAATTAATAATATTTTAATTACTTTATAATTTTTATTTAATTAAGATTTCATGGCAGCTTTTTCTCATATGGTGAGAGTTTGAGGTTTGGTGTTGATGATGCAAGCAATTTCGTCGCATTAGTTGGCCTTGAAGAGGCCCATTGAAAGGCCCTTATTCCTTTTCACAATCAACCCTCACTTTCACAACATTTCCTAGAATTCCCAAGTTGGCTGCTGTTACGGGGTCAAATCACTAATGGAACTTGGGCCACTAAGTCTCAACCGAATCCCAACCTTTGATTTTATTAAACATAATACAAATGAACCAAATTCGTATAAGGAACCAAGAAGTTCCAGCCTATCCAGACAAGAAGTTCCAGCCTATTCCACACAAGAAGTTCCAGCCTATTCGGGTCTGTCTTTCCATGCTCCACCAATGTAGGTGTATTTAATACAGGCCTCTTTTTGTACGGCCGATGAATTTAATCACCCCTTGATGTACAAAATTGTGGCCGATTGGTACTTGTGTAAGGTAATATTGTATTGTATCAATTGGTTTTAAAACAAATTTCAAATATTTTATTATTAGGGACTAGTATTTTTTGATTCAATCTTGTGTTAAGTGGACCCGAGCTGTGCTTTAATGCAAACTTTTTAAAGAATTGCAGGAAGAAATCAAATTGAGCCAAGGCGATAAATAACATGGGTTTGAAGCACATTAGTGTTACAGGTTGGACATGTATTCAAGGAACAGACCATTCTCTTCTTGGGTTCCATTATTTTGTTTGTTTTCATGTTATAGAATACATAACAATATGTTCCTATTAATTTGTTTACTAATAATTTCGAAATTTGTACTAACATGGTTCATGGTTCATGGTTCCAATTCTAAGAATGAATTCAATGCTATTTTTTTAAAATAACATAAAATAAATTCCGTTTTTTGAGAACATCACAAAAATTGAGAATGGTTTTGTGTAAAACAAGGGATGTGGATATTATTTAAAATATAAATTTAATTCAAGCCTAAGTATGTCAAATACATTGTACAAATTGTATCTACTCATGATTAGTGTAATGCACAAGGCTACACATTCTGAAGCTTGTTTTAGTACTAATTCGATCTCCACACGAACACAACCAGTAGAAATTTTTGAGAGCGAAAATATGAAAATTCATGGACGGATTATAAAGATAGAATGACACTCTTCTTTATTTATTTATTTTTTTAAAATGAGCAAAATGATACATCACAATTATCTCATGAGAATGGGGATTAAAAATTAAAAATTCTTCAATAATATTGTACAAGGAAATGTCTAATTACTTGTGCCAAGAGATAATCTTCAAAAAAAAAAAAAAAAGAAAAAAAAGAAAAGAAAGTCTGATGTATTAAAGATTCTTAATTTAAAGTTTCAAAAATAAGTTGTGTGTATGCCTATGATTCAGAAACCTTCCTTGATTGTCAATTACCATCAACCTAAAACATAAGCAACAAATAACTTCATTACTGCACAAGAATATAATTATAAAAACAAATTTTAAACAAGAATTCATACCTTACAACAAGCCAACAGGTATTAAATGGAAAAGATAATAATAAGAGAATCCAAAGCCATTGTTAAGGCTTCCTTTCTCTCTCTCTTTATGCTGAGAGAGAAAGAAAGCTTTTCTGCTGGATTAATTGAGCATGAATTCATCAAAAACTGGAACACAATAACAATAAGTAATGTGAGTTAGTATCTAAATATCTAAATATTGTCCTCTATAAAATTTTCGATTGTGTGCATTAATATAAAACAGAAAAAGAAAAAGAAATAAATGACAATATTGGCAAGCTAACTAAAAATTGACATACATAATATGCTATGAAATCATCCAAGTTTAAAACAGAATTAGGAAAGCAAGAAACAGGAGATATAAATTGGACGCTAATATCTTTACATGCTGATATAAAAATATTATATATATGCGTGTGTGTGTGATTATATAAACATTCATGCATGAAAAAAAAATCTGATTGATCTAAAGAATGACATCTATAACAAGAAACTAAAGAGAACATAAAATCTACGGAAAAAAAGAAAAAAGAATAATTGATTTAACTAATATATCTGACATACATAATATACTAGGAAATCGTCCAAGTTTAAAACAGAATTAGGAAAGCATGAAAATGGAGATATAAATTGGACGCTAATATCTTTACATGCTGATATAAAAATATTTTATATATGTGTGTGTGTGTGTGTGTGTGTGTGTGTGTGATTATACAAACATTCATGCATGAAAAAAAAAAAAAAAATCTGATTGATCTAAAGAATAACATCTATAACAAGAAACTAAATAGAACATAACATCTACAGAAAAAGGAAAAAGGAAAAAGAAAAATTGATTTAACTAATATATATAACAAGAAGATAAATTAATATGCAACAAAACAAAGATTGAAAAGATTATATAAAACAACGCAACCAAACTCTGTCAAACTGAGTTTGGATGATAAGAAAGAAAAGATATATATATAAGACTTACCTAGACTAATAGATGATGGCATGATGCTGAGATCGTTCTGTGCAGAGAGGAACGAAGAGAGGAGATTGAGAGGCTAAAGATGTTTGGCAATTAGGAAAGTTATTTATATATACTAATTGGGGTTGGGCACTAATTAGGATTTATTCAATGGGAAAGATTGGCTTTTAAGTCACGCAAGTCTGTTTGAAGTGATAACAATGTTATGTATCGTAATTTAATTGTGTCTCAAAAATTTAAGTCTAATTAGGGTTTCTATTTTAAACTACTATTTGTTAAGAAATTTCTTGTTACACAAGTTCTCAGGTTCAAAGGAATTGTAATACTCTTGTTTCAATAAGAAAACTAGGGCTTAATTTATATAATTTTAGTGCTGGATATTATTGAAAAATAAGAAAGTTTGTTAAATTGTGACTAATTTCTTTTTTGGATTGGAATTTGATTTTTCAGTTGCACTTTCTTTTAAAAAGGTTCTTGTTAGGTTTCAACAACGAGTAATTT